AATGATCCCACTGGATCTGGCATCGAAAAATTAATCTGGATCTATGATCTCATAGGATCTGACGATAAATCAGGAACATTGATCTATGATCTGAGTAGATCCCACCATGCATAACATTTGAAAGCAGGTTTCCAAGTGTTTCTACGTCAATAAGTGCCACATAACTATGGATTATAACGAGTAATTACACAGTATCACTAAAACAGAGCGTTTGATTTGCAGCAAGTATTGTTTTATGTTTATTCTTTTGTGTTGACAAAGAAGTGAGGATCTATGATCTCACTGGATCTAAAGAAGAAAAATTAGACTAGGATCTATGATCCCTATGGATCTCTCGATAAAAAACTGGACCTAGGGTCCCATCGGACCCGAAATCGGGGTTCATGGGATCAGATCCCAGATCCATTTTCTCGGATCCATGCACATGTCTGCTAGGTCTATGGTATATGTGATGAACTTATCTCAGGTAGGTGGTTATGGTTTATGGAAGTAAGAGCCCCCCCCCCAAAAAAAAACATTAAAGGATCTCAGATCGTCTTGTTTCCCTACGATAAGATCGCTTGCAGTGTCCGAGGTTCACAGTGGCTTTGGGGTCCCATCGTGGTCTTAGCTGACATCACATCGATCGTGTGCTCAGGAGGTCTTGGAACTCGGGGGGGGGAGGGGTCATATGGGCCCTGAATCCCACGGCCACAACCACAAAATGATCTGCTCTTTCCATCCCTAGTCGGACTCGTGCGCGACCAAATATTGTCATTCTTATTCATGATTGACTTTAGCGTCTCACCGAACACAACTGGAAGCAAACAAACGTATAATATTGTGACAAACAAAATGATAGCATGCCCTTAGCCAAGCAATGTCGACACTCAGATCCCGGATGGGCGAGTGGGCAAAATTTTGGCGACTCTGACTCTGACACCAGCCCGACTCTGACTTCGACTCTGTAGCCATGTTTATGACAATGACCTTTGTCACTTACGGACCATCTGTTATTCTGTTCTCTATTGTAAACCATTTAAGTTTCTGAGTTTCGTGTGATTAGTGCTCTTAAAAGCACCACTGCCATTACCGTCGGCCAATGACCTTGGCTATGACCGTCCGAACTCCCAGCAAACGCACACGTAAACAAACGGAGCACAAAGGACCGCCCCCGGCCATATAATTATTGCGTCATCGCCCGACCCAGCCGAAATTCCGGCCTTGGATGACCTTGAACTTGAACGGCAGAGGGTTCGTCCGGAGCGGGTGGAAAGCCGTACACAGAGGGAAGAGACCGGGACTCTGGGGAATGACGTCGGAGAAACGGCATGTAATTGCCGTCGCAGGGACAAATGACTGCTACTTGGAACTGACCGCAGGGGAGTGGAAGGTCAGCCTGGCTGGAAAACTCGTCTTAGCCAGTTTGAGTTGTGGGGCTTTGCAGCGCCAAGGCCGAAAAGGAATATCGCTTCTCACTGAATGGCATTTTCTGTATAGGTAATGACTGTTGAAAGGTCGCTAAATTTGTCTGTTTTTGTCGTGTAGTACCTATTTGTAGCTTTAATATTTTGAGTCTTTGACACCCGCTTTTGGTTCTTTTTGACATCTTGCATCGTTTTTTTTTCGTAGTACAGTCGCAATTTGTTGCTCTCTCTCTCTCTCTCTCTCTCCTCTCTCTCTCTCTCTCTCTCTCTCTCTCTCTCTCTCTCTCTCTCTCTCTCTCTCTCTCTCTCTCTCTCTCTCCCTCTCTCTCTCCCTCTCCCTCTCCCTCTCCCTCTCCCTCTCCCTCTCCCTCTCCCTCTCCCTCTCCCTCTCCCTCTCTTCTCCTCTCCCTCCCTCTCCCTCCCTCTCCCCCTCCCCCTCCCCCCTCCCCCTCCCCTCTCCCTCTCCCTCTCCCTCTCCCTCTCCCTCTCCCTCTCCCTCTCCCTCTCCCTCTCCCTCTCCCTCTCTCTCTCTCTCTCTCTCTCTCTCTCTCTCTCTCTCTCTCTCTCTCTCCATCTCTTCGCTTTCTCCACCGCTATGAAAATCAAATGCCTCACAATGCTGATCACAGCGTAATTTCCGCTTTTCCGTCGATGCATTGATATTTCTAACACCAACCACTGGCTGCACTACAAGCTCAATATGCAATATGCACTTCAACCATAGTCTCCCACCCGGATTTCAATCTCATGCCCAGCACTGAATGCGGATGCAGTCTGCTGTCGGCTGTGTTGCCGTTATTTGAGGGATCAGACATCGGTAGACGTTCGATCAGATCACATGCGCCGTTATGCGGCATTGACACTTGGGGTATAGTGACTCATCGCTGGGTGATCCTGTGGGATTTGACAGGTTTCAGCCAGGTGCGGAACTTTCTATGCAGGTGGTGGGCACTGGGCAGCCGCCCCACCAACTTGCTATTTTCCCCCACGTTTTGCCCCACCAATTTTAGCTCATTTGTAAGACTTTGTTGCTTTGCAAATCAATCTTTTTCTCGCATTGAAGACTGAGGAGGTTTCAAATGTCTGTGTACTCGTAATGCCAAATATTATTCTGTAAGGATAGGAGTTAGTTCAATGCTAGATTTTATTCACCTTGACAATTAGACATTATAGGTTTGACGACTTTTTGCCCCACCAACCTCCCCCGAAAAGCGCCACACCCATTTTCGGTCAGTATCAGATGTGTAGCACAGACAGTTTGGATATGCTAGTTAAGGTCTTAAGCTACAATTTTCTTTCAAATTATCCTTCAACGACCAGCCATCTTTTTCTGGCTGGAATGACTTTCTAGGTGGATGCAGACATGCTGCATTATCATACCTTTGCATATCTCCTAAGTAATTGTTAGATCCAAGTCGGCGGACCGAAAAATGTTGTCTGTTGTGATCACCCAACAGAGCGGCCCGGTGTGCGGGACGGCATGTGACAGCCTTCAGCGAACGTAGGACTGCGCGCCTTCTGAGGAACCAGTCATGACGCAGGTCTGGCCTAAGTGTTCGGGTGAAATATCGATTCGGAACTGTGATGGGTGCCTGGAGTGCACCGTCTCAGCGGTATGCTCGGAGGAGTGCTGCTCTGCCGGCTGCCGCCTTTGTCTTTCGCTGGCACAGCAGCCTGAGAAAGGATATTGCAGCCTGTGCCGGCGGCGCTGTCACACCTGGTGATGACTCAGTCGACCAGTCAGACTTCCGCGTGTCGAGGTCCCCGCTGCGCTCCCCAGTCGCTCCCACTCCCCCTGGCACTGCCGCTTCCCCAGTCTCCCTCCCCCCGCTGCTCTCAGGCTGGTTGAGGAACCGGTAGAGTCGCCACAGGCACTGGTCGTCAGGCCTGACTGACCAGTAATGCTGGGGTCCGTCATTTGACTTATTGTAATCGGCTGGAAATATTCAGACCTAAGTGCAGGAGGTACGTTTTTAAATCATATATGTAGTAGGAGAGTAGTTTTTAGAGTTGAACCCTGAGGTCAATGACAAGACGAGACTTCAGCTCGTTTTGCGATGAGAAGAGGGCTGCTTTTCACGACTTTTAGTTCGATGAAAAGCGAAATGGCTGAAGGAGAACGGTTTTGACCTCACAGCAAGGGTCTGTGAAGAAACCCCAGACAGCTTCAGTTGAAAAAGCGTTCGATCAGGGAGCTGCAATAGTTTAATCTATTGTCAACATGCTCATTGTAATGTTGCGATTAACCCTCATGTGTTGATTGATGTCTTGTAGAATGCATTCAAGATTAGTAGGTACCTATTTAACAGACTTGTAAGCGATTCAACTCTGATTGAATCAATTCTCATGAATCGCTTGAAAATGCCGACTCACTGTGATTGAGTCGGTTGAATCACCTCTTGTCACCATATGAATCCTGATTGAATCGGTCACACATGGCAACTGCAAGTGATTGAATCGGCAACTCATCGATTCAAGTTGATTAAAAATGATTCAATCACCATGTGTTGGAAGTTGAAGCTATGACCATATTTAGTACTATATTATGTGGAAATATATGTGGCATTTGCATCATAGTCACACACAATGCACTGCAAAATTTTTAGGTATTTTGTCAGTATTATAAATGAGCATAGCTATCAGTATTGAAAAAAAAAAAACATAAAAATGTTGTTTTAAGTTTTTAATCAAACTGTAAACACAAAATTATACAATGCATGAAGATGAAAAAATGAATGTAAAGTTTCTTTCCAGTGCCCTAAAATCAGTATAGTAATCAAGTTAACAGTAGCAGTAAGCAGGCGCACATTGCTCAACACCTCATGCTCATTATAGAGTTCAGTGCTCAACACGCATGTTTTAGATACCATGCTAATCTTTATATTTTCAATACCCTGTTTCATCAGGACATTTGTGAGCAAGCATAGATTTAGTACTTTTCTATGTTTTTTGGTATTTTCCTAGTGTATTTGGTTGATATTTGTTTGGTATCAGTTTCCAAAAATGTCTTAAATTGATATCACATATGTATATATTTTATATAACATCTTGATTGAATCGCGTTGTGTCAAATCATGAGTTGAGTCATTCCCTGAATCACTGATAATGGGATGAGTCGTGATTGAGTTGAATCACAAGGTCCATGAGTCGTGATTGAATCGCTTGGAAAATCAGACTGTTTGATTGAGTTATGATTGAATCGGTCATTTCATCAAGTGAGTCGTGATTGAATTGATTGAAATTTTTTGAATCGTTTACAAGTCTGCTATTTAATTAACTTTTTTTCTTGTGAGAGCAATGTAATGTATGTAGTTCAGCGTATGGGATTCGCCGACTTATATTTCGACCATTTTTATAACGACTTTTATGGGGAGGGGGGGGGGACGGGCTTGTGCTCTGTCATCAATGTATTCCTGCTCACGTGGCACTCATGTCGCCGACGTCATAAAATTCACAATCTACCGTTTTTATGAAAGATATCATTCGTCGTACACGCACTCGTCGCCTGGCGGAAACTACCGCCATTGCGCTACGGGAACCAAACATGTTCTCGGAAACATCAAAATCACCGATGACGTCAGCACACTGGGGGGGGGGGTATTTGAGGAGGGGGGCGAACAAGGCGGTCGTCCGGCGCCGGCAGCTGCCTCCCGACCGGACGTCTGTCTCCGTGCTCGCCGTCTCCGGCCGTCCGGAGGTCTGATACGGTCGGTTTATTGCCGACTGGTATCGGCGCCACATCCCGGGGCGGTGTCTGGTCTGCCCCGCGCTGTGACTGTCTCCTTGGCTCCCGGGCGGTTATTGCCCCGGCTATCGCCCGCCGTATTGTGCGGGGAGGGGCGGCGGGTTGGTCGGCCGGCCGCCCTGCCGCGTCCTTCCCTGAGGCCGTACCTGTCGGCGGCACCTCTGAGAACAGCGCCACCCGGCCGGGCCGGCAGCCTGCAGAGGCCGCGCCGCGCAGATAGTGGCCGAACTGCCCCTGAGGAGGACCTCCCCGCAGCTCCCCCGATCCGGTGAGGTGGGCTCGGGTCCGGAGTCGGACCGAGCGCGGGTTGCGGGTTGGGACCGTCACTGTGCTGGGAACGGGGCCGTGGTGTTTTCAAGGTGTTGCTGTTGCTGATATCCGGACAAGCCTTGTCAGCTTTCACATTTTGTCCGGTTTTGATAGCTTTGATCAGTGGGTGAGGCTTAGGCTGAAACAAATCATGTTTGCCTCTAATTCCGTCGCTCGATAAATCTGCAGCTCGGTGGTTATTATTTGTTCTAACCTCTCGCAATATTTTCCATGGGAGATGATCTATATTATTTGCTACGGATTTATTCCCTTCGACTGCCCCAACACTGTTGACCTGAGGTCAACGGTCAATATGACCTGATGTGTGGGGATGAACTCTGCGACTCCTCGTGCCGTTCAAGCACATCTGTTTTTTAATCTGCGGTGCCATATTTTTCAATTCGGAAATGTGGGACGAATTTAGGTATGTTTTCTTTGATTTCCCTTTGATTATCCCCGTTGTTTTCACCGCTATGTTTACGTTTCTTCTATCGCTGTCGTTCTCTCATCGCTTCATGATCACAGCAACGTATAAAAAGTCTGCATTCTTTGATGGATGCCAAGTGCCAACCTTATAAACAACTTCGTTGATCAAATGTCTCAAGCAGTCTTTGCATATACCTTAATTTTGCGATATATTTAACATATTTATAAAGCCTTACTGTACCTACAAGTGTTTTTCTTGAAGCTCCAACAAAACAATAAAACCCAGCATGCACGCATTATAAAGCCAATCCCAAATGAAATAAACGGTAACTCGCACTAAAGGCTCAGTTGCGTCAGACACTCCAATCGGGCCGTATTCACGTCGATTATTTTCGTAAGAATTTCCTTAAGTTTGACCTACTTCCTAAGTAAATTTTTTTATTCACGTGAACTCCGTCGATAAAAACTTAAGAAGTGTCGACGTGAATACCAAATTATACTTACGAAAGAAAATCGACTTACGAAGTCGACGTGAATACGGCCCGTCCTTTTTATTATCATTTTTTGTTTTGGAAACACGTTGCAATGGGCTTTAAATAAAAATTAGTAAAATTAGATACTCGGCTAAGCACCTAAGAAAAAAAATCGAGATAGAAACGTAACGTTTTTGATATCAAATACAGTGTTCCGATCGAAACACTGTCTTTTGCACCCGTTCTCTTTCATCGCCGACTTTTTGTCAGTTGCCGAGCTGGGCGCTCCAGCCCACCGTATGCAGGCGACCGCCGGGCCGGGCTTTGGACGACACTGACCGGTCCAACGACTCGTGTCGCCGCGGCGGCTGATCCCCCGGCCATTGAACGCCGATTGGGGCCTTCATCGACTGACAGTGCCACATGCAGCGGCGCTCCCCGACCTGATCCCGCGCGGCGGCCATGACCAGTAAAACAACGGATAGGTCGGGCTGTGGCAGGCTCGGATACGGGAGAAAGGGGGTGGTTGAGTCAGAGTGGCTTATGTGTTTCGGCTTTATCCGGATTCTGTTCTGGTATAGGCTGGTTCCACGAACCCTCACTGAGTGGTGTTTGCTGACTGATTCTGGACTGCTCACGAGTTGATTACTTGTAGGAATCTCTTAATTACTGGTTGTACTGTATGCTCCGGTCCCTGATTGCTTCGGGAAAGGGTTGATTGTAGTTGCCTCGTATTACCTAGGAGTGAAAGTTGATATGCGCGGAAAGGATAATGAATAATTTACTTCCCAGCAGTCTACATTCTCTGTCGAACTAGTTATTTTCAGGGGGCAACAGTCGGCATAATGTTAATCACGGAAGAGGACTTTCATTACATGACACCAGAACTTCCATGTATTCATGATGACTAACTATATCTCTCCTTCCCTTTGATAAACGTAATGCGAACTGCGCGTCTCTCCGTACATAGATGATACGTGGTGATGACGATAAAACACCATTCTGACCATTGTCTCTGCCTCCGCCCCACAGCTAGCACCATTCTGACTGGTGCCTCTGGTCCCGTCCACATCTCACACGATTCTGACCGTAACCTCGGCCCCACAGCTATCACCATTCTGACTGGTGCCTCTGGTCCCGTCCACATCTCACACGATTCTGACCGCAACCTCCGCCCACAGCTAACACCATTCTGACCGTAATCTCCGCCCCACAGCTAACACCATTCTGACTGGTGCCTCTGGTCCTGTCCACATCTCACACGATTCTCCTCCGCCCACAGCTAACAGCATTCTGACTATCGTCTCTGCTCTGCTCTTTCCACAGCTGACGCCATGGTGACCCGCGTGGGGTGCATAGGGGCCGGCTACGTTGGCGGTCCGACGTGCGCCGTCATCGCCCTCAAATGTCCCGACATTCGCGTCACTGTATGTGACATGAACCCGACACGCATTGGCCAGTGGAACTCGGATAAACTGCCAGTCTTTGAGGTCAGTGGGAGAATGTGTGTGAAGCGAGTGTGATATTGTGTTTTAGGTTGATGTATGTGCGTGTGTCCCATGGGAGTGTAATCCTGTGAAGTGATCGTGGTCGTGTATTTGAGGCGAGTCTGATCTCGTGTTTGTGTGTTAATTCGGTTTAGGTGAGTGTGTTCCGTTTCTATGTCAGTGCGTGCCTGTGTTCGATGTGCGTGCGTGCGTATCCGTGGTCGCCGGCCGCGACGATTGGAGCTGAGCTGCTGACGTCATAACTATCTCTGACGTCACAGCGGTGTAGCGCAGTGGTATGGGTCTCCGTAGTGATGTTTAATTTAAGAGATTGGAGCCGGCGGGGCTTTCGAGCCTGTCGCAAAGATAAGGCGCCGACTGGCGTATATACGGAAGATATTACTTTTCACGAGAATGTGAATGCGAGTGTGGTGTTATCTTGATGTTCTAGAAGTTACGTCATTATAGACGTCATAGGCTTGCTCTATCAGAGAAGGCACCGATGCTGAAGAATATTGCAGAGTGTTTTGAGAATTATTCATATTACCTCTTTTTCTGATATTTTTTTGTCATGCCTCTATGTAATAAGCTTGTGTGTGGCGCAGTTATTCAGGACGCATACCCGGAGCGTCCAGTAGACCTATTACCTTTGGCAAGATGTGATGCGTTTTGGTCTCTCGGTATTACACAAGACCAATGTGTCTTTCGGTGTAAAAGCCTGTAATAAGTCAGGCGGTGTGTGTTGTCTGTCAATATCAGCGAGTTCCTCCAGAGGCAGGCACTGTGTAATAAGGCCGCTTCATATGGAGAAACACAGCATCCAACATTCTGGATGGTAATCGCACTTCTACACAACTGGCTGAGAGGAAAAAACGAACACTCGTTAACGCGAATTTTTCTCATCTATTGTTTTACACACAAAGCTGTGTGACATATGATCAGTAACTCATCTTTTTTCGCAGTTTTCATAACTGTTCACTTCGTTTTTTATGTCCCGGAGTTGCCATTTTTGCGTCTCGCTGACGACCAGAGGTATAGTGTTGGGCGGATATTGTTAATGCAGTGGCTCGCTTCTCGCTCTCAGCTGCCACTTGAGCTACCAGTAGGTAATGTCCCACAGGTCACAGTTTTAAAAAGGCAGTCGCCTTTCCCTCGCCATTCGATACGTGCAATCCTCCTTAAGTGCAGTCCTTGGCCAGTTGTTTGCCATCTTCTTTGGGCATTTAAACAATTACATTTCATGCATATCCATCAATTGATTAATACGTCTCTCTCTACGGGTACATGCATTGAAGGAGAACTCACCTTACATTTCACATTCAAATAAAAAGAAAAAAGTTTGCTGTCATAATTTTCCACCTTACCCTGGTACCAAATGGCAATATCTTTACCTTTTACTGCGAACCAAGGTTCATGCGTAGGTTCCTCTATTCATTCTTTTGAGTTATTTCCTTTGCATTCAAGAAGCCAATACAATGGATACAGAACATATATTTCTTATTTAGATCTGGCGTACCAAAGGTAGCACTGAACCATATCCTATATTCGTAATGTCTTCTCTGTAGAATGGACAGAGCTTCCTTTGCGACTGTGCCAGGTAATCACTGGGTTATCGTAGCTGGGCGATTCAAGCAACAATCATAGGAGCGGTCGGCCATAATTCATAGTTACCCCCCCCCCCCTCCAAGGTGACCACATTGACCCGGGTAGGTCCACAGAGGGAGGGAATTGTCCGTTGGAACGGGCAGGGCAGCCAACCTGCTAATGATGTTTACGCGTAAATTCAGCAGCTGCATTATCCTGCTTTTAGACATCCTCCTGTTTTTTTTTTTTGTGCTCGTCCGGCTTTGTGCACCTCTTTGCTGATCACTGATCATTGGTAGTCGTAAATAGCCATATCGCTACAAATTACATGTATGTAATATTACATGTACCTAAATTATATACTAGTGCGGTCTGACATTGTTTTTTAGTGGTGCTTTTTAGGCAGCGAAAGTATATTGCGCATTCTGCAGTGCTGTTTAGTGCACAGACACAGTCTGTGCGCTGTTTAGTGTCGACAATTGTTTTTGTACATTCTGAAGATGGCGCAAGCTGAAATGTATTAATGAATAAGTTTAATCATGAATTATCAACAACAAAAAAATTAAAGAATGAGCATAAGGTTATTTTTCCATACTATTTCACAGACACATGGTTCGTTTTGCTCTTTCATCCTCTGTTTACGTTGTCAATTCGACTAGACTTCTCGACACGAACGTGTTGTATTGATTTGGTGTCCTGTCTGACGTCAGCTGATGTAACGTGACGTGATCTGACATGACCTGACGTGACATCACACCAGCTTTATGTGACACCCCCGCCTGCCTACAGCCGGGTCTGGACGAGATCGTTCAGAAATGCCGCGGTGTCAACCTGTTCTTCACCACCGACGTCGTGGCCACCATCCAGGAGTCTGAGGTGCTCTTCATCTCGGTCAACACGCCCACCAAGACCTACGGACACGGAAAGGTGGGTACGCGACCGGCACTGCGCGCCCGACGCCGTCCGTCGCCTTATGCATTTGTGTGTGGGAAGGGGGCTTGGTTCTCTTATACCCTTGAGGGATATGTGAGTATGCTAGCTCCGTAGCTGGGATGACGCAAAATATATTTTTTAAGGCTGCCTGCACCTTAGCCTGAAGCAACAGCAGTGTACAATAAGCTGAAGTGGCGCTGTGTCTGTATCCATGAACAACTGACTATTATTACTGATTCCGATTCATGCCTGGTTTATTGATGTATTTGACGGGAAGCGGTGTTCACTGTACTTAGGGCATCGGTCGTTATCATGATGGTGGCCGTTCGGCGTGATCTGTGGCTCTCCGTAATTTCTAGTCATCTTTGTCGTCAGCGATAGAGCCTGCTATCATAAAGTCTGGTCCGTTTTCAAAGTAGCCAGGGACCATTACCTGAGTGGTAAAGCCTTGCGTTATTGAACTCGTTATTGTAGGGAAGGCGGGTCATCGCTCAAAGCAAAGGCCATTAGTTGCAGCTCAGCTCTTTTGTTAGCTGAATTGTGCCTTATTTAGTGTGGCTTTGCCTTTTTATAGTAATGAAATTTAAAATCACTATGCGGATACTGTACGTTATTGCGGGAAGTCTGAGCCGTCTTTATATTTCATAGGTAGCCAGCCGCCTTATGGTCGGGGGACAATTGCGGAATTAATCAGTTGTAAAAGGTTCAAGATCTAAATACTGATACCTCTGTTGGATATCGGGGACATAAATATCGAGGGCATGCCGCATAGTTATTACAAAAGTTAATCTTTCGTTTTACTGTAATGTAGCTATAATCAGCATTCAGCGCACTACTTTCTGTAGCTAATATTAAATCCCATAATGGAAAAAATTGTGTGCGTAAAAATGACTATATGTGCAGTTCACCAGGATAAATTCTTATGATTTGCTAGCAATAACATTTTCCAGCAAATCTCGGCCGAGGCATTGTGTATAAGGAGGTAGGTATGGCAGCGCCCAGAGTGTGATCGATAAGCTGAACTTCGCTACACTGCGCATTTTATTAACCAACCACTCTGCGCATCTTAAAAACCAACACTCTAACCAACCACTTGAAAAATGTGTGCCGGACACTTTACATCAAGGCAGTGGATCGTATGCCGCAAATTGATCGTATGCCGCAAATTGATGCAAGCATACCACCGCGCCAACAACCGGTCACATTGCTCCGCGCCATGCTATTGTTCTGATACGGCTGCAGCCGTTTAGACACCAGGTGAATCCTGCATAATATTTGGCTGCGATCGGGCGCGTCCCTCGACCCCTCCCGACCGAGGCTGGTCAAGGTGCCTTTGTGGCATCACGGGCCGCGGACTCGCCACCTGCGGTCCCACGCCGGACTGCCCCCGGGGGCCGCAGATGCTGATTGCTGACCAACCGCGTGGAACGGTTACCAGTTGCTTGTACACGTGTGGTCGTGTGTGCAGCTAGGGTAAGAAAGTTTGAGAGCTAGAGGGAGCGTGTTGCACCTAGCTAAGCGGACTGCAGAAAAGGTCCGTGCTGGGTTGATTTGGGCAGATTCGAGATTTGGCTGAAGTTACATGCTCAGCCTTTTTTTTGAAAACAAATATCATCCTCGTTTCTTATTACTCTCATTGAACTGAGTGATCGGAATTCGCACTTTGCGAGGTACGATATTTTTTTTTTTGAACCGCAGTGGTACGCTGAAGGACTGATTGCCTTGGAGTTCAAAGTATAGTTATCGCTCAAATAAATGTTGAGTTGTGGTGACATCCGTTTTTTCTCAGCTAACTCACATCATATACTGTTTGCTTTCTGTTTACACCCATTACCTCGACCAGCAAAGCGTTACAGTTTCAATGCGACCGTCTCGAGTGGTTCTGGAAAAGCTTCTGAATGCCTGAGACACATACAAACACGTCTTGTTTGCTTCAGGCAGGGCTGTCAAGCACAGGATGCGACAGTCGCGAATATCCAATAAAAGTTGCAGAGCTGGGGAAATCAAGGGAGGCTCAGTTTCAGAACAGCCTGTACAGTAGGCAGTGATCACCTTGACCCATTTCTCCTTCAGAAAGGGGAATCATGTGGCGCACCAGGCCGCTGCTCACTGACGTTGCCTGTGTTCAGACCGGCTCCATTCTCAGTCGGCTATTGTTCACATAAAGTACCAAGTGTTGATGACGTGTTGGCGGCGCCAGGCCGCCCCGTCATGCATATGAACGACGCCTGCCATATGCAGTCGCAGAGCAGTATAGCAGCTCTGAATCTCAGTGGGCACTCGCCAACGGTCGCGGCCATGGTCCTCTGTTTGAAATTTAGATGCAAACCTGGAGCGAGAGTGCCCGATCGTAGAATATATTCATTGGTATTAGCGTGCACGTTGACCTGTTCGAGTACAGGGTGTTTCATAAAAAATGTCCTGATTTGTTTTGCTTATAACGAAAAATCTAATAGTCACATATCCATTCACAATGGTTCAAACGATTCCACAAGGAATGGAGATTTATTACATACATATCACGAACATGAATCATGCGTTCAGCGCCGCTCACAGCACGTTCTCGAGATGTCCTCCTTTTCGGAGCAGACATACGTCGGCCCGTTTCGCCACGTGCCCGATAACTCGGGCGCATGTGGCGGGCGTGATCACACGCACCTGGCGTCTGATCGCCCGCTTGAGCTCTCCGAGACTCCCCGGGCTCCCGCTGTACACTCTGGACTTAAGAAAACCCCACAGGTTAAAGTCGAGGGGTGTCAGGTCAGGGGAGTGAGGGGGCCAGGGAGTGTCCGTTCCGCGGCTGATGATCCTCTCTCCGAGACGCTCCTGGAGCCACTGGAGGGCCATCTTCGAGGTGTGCGGGGTGGCCCCGTCCTGTTGGAACCAGATATCGTCACCACCTGAAGTCGAGCCTTCTTGCACTGTGGCCCAGAAGCGTTCCAGGATGCGGACATAGCGTTCCTTGTTCACCGTTTGAGTGCACCCGTTGCCGTCTTCGAAGAAGAATGGCCCGATTATTCCGGTGGAGCTCATTGCGCACCACACAGTCACTCTCGGGCTGTGCAGTGGGACTTCCAGCAACGTTTCGGGTGGTGCCGAGGCCCATATACGGAAGTTCTGGGTGTTCACCTGTCCAGTAAGGTGGAAGTGGGCCTCATCGCTAAACCAGACCCCATCCAAGAAGCCAGGATTAGCGGCAGTCTGGTCCTTGAGCCACTTTACGAAGGCCACTCTCTGATGTTTGTCGTTCTCCGACAGCTTGTGATGCACTGTCACTTTATATGGGAACAGTTCGAGGTCCTTTCTCATTATTCTCCGCACCGTTGAGTGGCTTGTGCCAACTTCTTGGGCGATTTTCCTGATGGACTTCTTGGGGTCCCCATTGACTACGGACTTCACCTTGGCGATGTTTTCGGGGGTCCTTTGTGTCGTTGGCCGTCCACTTTTCCCTTTGTAGCAATTGAGGATAGACCCATCTCTTAGAAACTTTTCTTGCAAACGCAGGATTGTTTTCGGGCACGGTGTGAATCGGGTTTTGAAGTGAGCCCTAAACTGTCGCTGTGTTAGAATGATAGAACGTGACGACCAGTAAAACTGAACCAGTTTTGTTTTTTCTTCCTTGCTCAGATGCTTCATGGTGAGAAGTGAGCTAAGGTGCGTGAGGAAAATTTCCCGTGCACGTGCTTTCGATTGCATTGAAAAAAAACACTTGATTGCAATTAATAGGGCACCCCAAAATGCAATCAAAACCAGGACATTTTTTATGAAACACCCTGTACGAATTGGTTCTAGATGACTTTTAGCATATATTCTCGCTTCTCAGTCGTTTCGATATGTGGGACACATTATCCACCACGATTATAGCTCACGACCGAGCAGAACCATGCTCAACTCGAAAAAAAAAAACATTTCCGTCGTTTGTAAGTCAAACATCACTAAAAGGTAACCGATACACTCGTGACAAATTGTAATGAACCTTTAACCTAATGCGATGAATAATATCCAATGATCCGTGATAGACAACTCGTGATCTGTAATCCATGACATGCGACCCTGTGACCCTCGCCTGATCAGCCTTGATCGATGACCCGTTGACCTGTGACCTTTTTGCCGCCAGGGTCGGGCAGCTAACCTCAAATACGTCGAGTCTGTGGCTCGGGAGATCGCCAAGGTTGCCCGCGGCAACAAGATCGTCGTGGAGAAGAGCACCGTGCCCGTCAAGTCGGCTCAGAGCATCGCCGACATTCTGAAGGCCAACCGGAACAGTCAGAACAAGTTCCAGGTCAGTGACCACCTATGATCTGGGGTGGAATTTGTCATAGTAGGAGCAATAAAGTCTCAGAATGTTATTAAAAGCCTTATGCGTTATTTTTTTTTTTTTAGATTTCTTGGCCCTATGGGACAGTCATGAACGATACGATGCTAACATTGCTACCTATGAAGCGCGATCATATTATTTGTTACCCTGTTCAGTGCGGGAAATTTATTGGATATTGACCACGCTCCTCTAGTCCCAATAAATGGTTATTAAGGACACGGATGTCTCCGCTGGACAAAAAAAAAAACGCAGTAATTTATTGGAACAGGCCAGCTTTCAAATTGCTCATGTGGGTCCCAACTCTGGACGCATAATGATCTTTCTGTCAATGCGCCCTTAGCCCCAGCAATCGGTTTTAATTATTTAATCATTTATCTAAATCTTAGCTTTGGTATAATGTTACCTTTTGCTTTTATCTGTTACCCAGAGTTGTGCACTCTCGCGCTTCTGTTGTGTGCCTCTCTCACGTGCTGGCCCGTCCGTCAGGTGCTGTCCAACCCGGAGTTCCTAGCCGAGGGTACCGCCATTGAGGACCTGCTGAACCCGGATCGGATCCTGATCGGCGGCGAAGACTCCCCCGACGGCTGGAAGGCCATCGAGACGCTGTCATCTGTGTATAAACGCTGGATTCCGGCCGACCGCATCATTACTATGAACACCTGGTCATCGGAACTCTCCAAACTGGTCAGTAGAACAGACAAAACTGAAAGCATGAGCAATACAGTCGGTAGACCAGAGGCAGACACTACAGTAATATAGTCAGTAAAACAGACATTACACCCGACCGCATTATCATCATGAACACCTGGTTATCGGAGCTCTCCAAACTGGTCAGTAGAGCTCTACATACTGGTCAGAGCTTTAATAGCTCGTGAGTGGAGTTATCCAAGCTTTCAAGTCTCTCTCCCCTCTCTTTCTCTCTCCCTCTTGAAGTTTGGGTTCACGAGTGACTTATATTTATCGCAGAGGTCTTAAAAGCACAGTATATGCCAATGCTCATATGAAGTATGCATTATATTATACCAGATAGAGACAGACAACTGACAAAATAACGACAAATAACAGCACTATGCCGCGGCACTTCTGATATCCAAGCTACCTACATCGCCATTTTCCACCAGTGTGCCGGTCAATACTCGCCCATTATCAGCGGCTCGACCTGAATGTCCCACCGACCACCGTGTCGCGACCGTTTTGGATGAGCAGTGTCGTCGTTTTAACACCTTGTCGCACATGCGAGCTGAGTACCTCTATCGTGCGAGCCTCCTCTCTCGTGGTGGACCGGGTTCGGGGAGCCGGGAATGTAGGGGAGCTCTTCCTCTGTCATATAGTATCCCGCTCGGCATCGATGCGTCGCTGAGGTAGCTCTTCGCTAGAGCAGTCCGGTTGGTGTGCATAGCAGTCGTAACTCGCCGGGCCGCCGGGGACGGCTGATGTACGAGGCTCTATCGAACCCATGCGAGGCTCGGTCGGACGGGGACCGGGTTACGTATGGGGTTGTAACGCGGGTGGGCGCCGCCCGGCCGGCCAGCTCCGATAAAACGACATCAGTGCCCATCCCCTTAGGCATAAACTAAGACGTGCGACTGGAAAGAATTGATTTCTGTTTCAGGAATCCAGGTATATCCGCGAATATCGGCGTAGAGTGGGAGGTATGAGAAAATGATTGTTCATGACATTCCGAAATTCGCAATATCTTCTGTTGCGTTTTTTTGTTATTGCTATATAAGTTTGTAATTGTTATTGCGAATATGTTCTGTTATTGCTGCGCGTTTCTGAGAAGGCAGCGGTTCATTTAGGTGTCTCCGGGAGCGCTGCCTCGCCTGACCGGGAGCGATGGTCTCTCATGCAGGCTGGGAGATCAATACACTGTTCGCGGTTTGGAACTGGGTGGAGACCAGTCGGACTGACACGGGCAATATAAAAATCACGATGAAAGGCCGTGGGACGATTGGTCTGACATCCGGTAATGCCGCAGTCGCCACGATAGGGGGTTGGTCGGGTTCTTGATAACACTGTTATAGCAGTAGGATGGTGTTTTCTAACTAAACCTATCACATAAATTTTAACTGAAATAGCGGTGGTGTGATAGCATGTTATAAAGACAGAAATTAATCGCTTCTCAAGTAATCGTTGACTCCAGTCAAATTTAGACAAACTTGTTAATGTTAATTGGTTGGTTCGAAGGCACAGTTTTTTTCGATGACTTGCTCCTGATATCGGTACGTAAATATCTCCTTTTTAGTCACAACCAGGTACATTGTAAGTAGAATATTTTAAAGTAGAAGCAGATAGTTTTAAAGCTTTTAACCTCACCAAAATCTTTCGAAACCGACTCACCGACAGGGATTGGTGCATTACTTTTTACCAGTGGCGTACTCCTTGGAATATCTAATAGAAATGATAGCACTTTGCTAGTTGGACTTCCGAATATACCTACTCAACTCTAAGTTCGATCTTATGTAAGTTCTTCTGAAGGTGTTGAAATCGACAGAAGAGAATCATCAGAATCTATTCATCATCGTCAGATTGTTTTCTGCGAAGAAGGGTTATGGTCTGCTGCCGTTAGGTATACCAGTGCAGTCAGGAATCCTCATCGACAGGCAGACACGTATGTTAAACATATGTTAGAAGTTGCTTTACACGACTCCAGGTTATAAGCCTACCAACAAACTTTGTTGCAAACAAGGCGCCAAACCTTCGGGATTCTCCAAGAGTTTGGTACTTATACCGCCCGCCAACAAGCGAATCGACGAAAAGAACAAATCTAATGGTTAGACTCATCTGAAGAATCAGGGGGGGGGGGGGCAGCGCGCCGTTCGGGGAGGCGCGCTTCAGTGACGCTCCCTCGGCACTGCGCACTTCTTCGCTCGGGGGCTGTGCTCCTTCTGTTACACAATGACGAGCTATTTGTATGACAGCCCGGTGTGGGTTACACTCGCCTTACAGGTAATTCGTAATGAGCCCGGAACTGGACTTTGGGAACTCTTCGAGTGCCGCCGCTTTTTTGAACGGCTCGCTAGTTATGCAATGGTACTCGGATGCATGCAGATGCATTCACAAATAACCTAGCTAAATAACATACTAATTGGACGGAGTGCGCACAATGGTATATGGAGCGGAGTCACGCTGTCCGTTTTCTTTGTAAGTAACAAGATTGCTTTTGTCGGGGTCGTGCTTGGTTGAAAGTCAAGAATGTAGAGTGGAGTGTTCTTTTCAGGTCTTTACTCGCCAGGATGTAGCAAGCTGCACTCATCAGCCTCCCGGATAGCGTGCTGTTATGTTTAACGTGACGTGTTCATCGCAGTGCGAACCGGTACACAGGCCTGCGCACGCTTATTGCACAGGGGATACCATAAATGGTATTTTTGTTTTTTTTAACATGTCATGTAGCATGTTGTTTATATGCTCAAAACAGTTTTCAATTCGTTGGAACTTGAAATTCACACTCATATTTTTAGATCAAAGAGGAACTGTTGTAATAACCAATGGCGTGTTTTATTCCCGACGCCAAGAGTTTCCTGTCGTTGAAATATCAGCTGTGTGGGTATTTTTCGAGACGAATAATAGGGCTGAGTCAGAGAGTCAGTTTGTAATGTTTCCGTTATTTTAAAGAGTTAAGCGTTGTGAGGAAAATCATCATTATGATTATATTATAAGCATATTTAGTGACCGAATCCTCAATAAAATCTGAATAATTGACAAAATAACAAAATTCGGGTATATGTATTTGATTGATCACAGATCTTCGTCAACCCTTAACGAAGATCTGTGATCGAATATACCCGAATTTTGTTATTTTGTCAATTATTCAGATTTTTTTGAGGATTCAGTCACTAAATATGCTTATGTTTCCGTTATGAGTTATGACAGCAATCAACAATATGCCATTATTACATACAATATATTGCTCAAGATTACTGAGCCATTAGCGTGTACTCGTATTAACAACATCAGTGCTGGACGATCCCTAAATATTACCTCCAACCCACGCGTGTTTTTTTTTTATACCATCACGCTCCAGCCTCGTGACCATGTACCAATTTCCCGTGAATCTCCACAGGTGGCTAACGCGTTTCTGGCGCAGCGCATCTCGGCCATTAACGCCGTCTCGGCGGTGTGCGAGGCGACGGGCGCTGACGTCGGTCAGGTCGCGCTGGCTGTCGGAAAGGACAGCCGCATCGGACCCCGCTTTCTGCAGGCCTCAGTTGGTGGGTAGCCAGTACTCAGTAGTGGTTAGTAGCTGTGAGGGTGTTGACGTCAATTGGAGGCTAAACTGTGTATTGGTATCAGAAATGTACCGAATATGTGCGCCTGTGAAAGGTTTGTCGCCAGGGGTTATCGAGGCGTGATCAGTAAAGCCGACAAAAGCTGCACCTCATCGGATGGCACCCGTTCGGCTTTACCCCGCCGTTATGCATGGCTAGCTCCGGTTATAGAGCCAGACCAATGCATTCACATCAGCTTACTTGGCGGGAAAATCCGATTACATTTTACATATGCAACAACGATCGATGTGGGGTCTATGACCTGACCAGGGATCATAAACTGAAAAATGCAATCTACTTTTTATCGAGTCACGCCAAAGAAATATCGCAGCGTGTTTATGAAGATTATTCCCACAAATATCACATATCCTCTTTCTTTCAATCTTACTTTCCAGATCTCACCCGATCCGTCCTCATCTTCTATCGACCAAGCTCTCTCTCTCTCTCTCTCTCTCTCTCTCTCTCTCTCTCTCTCTCTCTCTCTCTCTCTCTCTCTCTCTCTCTCTCTCTCTCTCTCTCTCTCTCTCTCTCTCTCTCTCTCTCTCTCTCTCTCTCTCTCTCCCTTCCTCTTTTACCCCTCCCCTTCTCTCTCCCTCTTTCTCTTCCCTCTTTTCCCATCCCGGGACTTTTCCCGATCTCTTTTTCTCACCTCCTCCTCCCTCCCTCACACCGCCATGCGCGGTCCGGGCCGGTGCCGGGGTGCTGTGCACCGTCCGGCGCTGACCCCAATGCCCCTCTTAGTTTGGCTGACCTCAGCACGTATCGCTGACCGTGCCCGCCTCAGCTGGTCAGTCAGCGCCCTGCTGAGCTGACTCAGCACCGTCCTGCTGAGCTGACGAAGCTCGGGCAGGGTTTGGCGCGGGCTTCGTAGAGTGGGTTGGAACTGGACAAAATAGCCAGGGTAGTATGCTGATTTAGTGGAGTTGGGTCAATATGATGATACATATAGTGGAGTTGAGTGTACAGAGCTTGCAAGGACTTTGTGAGAAGAAAGAGTGAAAGTCGGTATACAAAAGCGTAAGCTGTGTGATGGTTAACTATGATTAATATGTTTTGCCGGATTTTACATCGGGCTTGTAAAAGGCGATCTTTTTTTTCTCATCAACTTGTACGCGGCGCTGATCACGCGACGGATTCTGAAGGCTCTCTCATCTTCAACGACTGTGTACATACGCGAACGGAAGTGATTGATCTCTCTCCACGAATGTCGAGGGAAGAGGGAGTCTGGCTTCCCGGAAATGTTTCCTATGAATGTTAGTCTGTCTTCGCCTGCCGTTTGAACCTCACTTCTTGTCCGGGTCTGGGGTCTGAACTGGGCAGGTCAAATGCTTCAGAGGCTGGCCAATTTCCCTAGTCAGTGGCAGGACGTTTCTTAGAGGGCAGCGTTTATAATTATCGAGTGAGCGTTTGTTATCGAGTGCGCTCGAGTGGGAAAGTTATAGCGACTGACGCCAAGTTCTATGCTTAGTGCTGATTGTGGGGGCTGCTGCTGACATATGCAGACTTTCCCTGTGCTTGCAGTTGTCTTTGATCTTGTCTCTGCTTGGACTGTGCCGGGTGGAAATGCGACGGGGCGTTGACCTTTCGCAAATATATAAATGCTGCCGGTGTATAGCTCGTTTTTAACTTCGACCCTCACTGTAAACATCTTTTTTATCAAAGCACGAGATTTGCTAGCTGAATTACTTAGAAAACTGTTAAGCGCACATTGTACTGGAGATATGAATAATATTTTCCAAATAAGTTGTTGATATACCATTCTGTTAAACGCCGTGCGATTTATTGATTAGTTCAATTATAATTTCTGACAAGTCGTCTTTCCCTGTGGGGCTGTATATATAGGTAAATACGAGCTAGGAGTCTGGGAAGTAAGAGCCAGGAAGAAATGATTTTGAATAAAATTAACCGTCTGTGATATCAATGTGCGCCAGTCAGTTTTCTGAGTAATTCAATTCTCGTGCTGTGTCCAAAGCGTTCAAAGAGACGATTGGAGTGAGGGTCGAACTTAAAAAAACGAACTATAGGTGAAATATTTTCGCATACGGTGCTAAGTGCTAAAATAATCGCTAATGGTAGATAATTGTTGTTTAATGAACGATGGAACTTATTAAGCTACTAAGCGTGTTTTTGTTTCGTTTGTTCACAGGCTTCGGCGGTAGCTGTTTCCAGAAGGATATATTGAATCTGGTCTACATATGTGAGAGCCTCAACCTGCCGGAAGTGGCGGAATTCTGGCTGAACGTAAGCACCTTCCAGGACACTGATACAATGTCGACGAATAATGACTGCATATACGATACCGATAGCACGTCATTAGACCCATATCCTGGTGTGTCCAGTGGTCGTAACCATAGTTACGCGCTATGAAACAAGCTTTTATGTTAATTTAGGTGTATAATTGCCGCAAATTGCTGATCTTTGTTATGATCTCTAGGTTATTTCCCTTATCCCTAGGCATAATTTCGTTATGTTTTTTGTTTGGTAAATTACAAAAGATATAATGATATCGAGTTCTATAGCAAACTGTCTCTAAAATAAAGCAGGACTGGCGTTTCCTAATTATTTGACGTCTGTCGATATTCCGTTACTGGTGGTCGTACAACCGCTGTACCGTTTTGTAGATTTATGATCGTGGGACAGCGCATACAATGAAATCTAAGTAAACGATAGGTGAACTGAGCCATATCACTGAAATGTTATGTAAACGTTGTGATAAACTGATCTTAACCCGCGCGGGGCTGGGGGGGGTAAATTTTACCCCCCCTCGCGAATTTTTGCGATATCTCAAAAACGGCGGCGCGCAGCGCCGCCAAACTTTCAGTACCTTTTCTTACATCAATTTGACACGTTCCCTGAAAATTTGAGCGAAATCCGTCGGAAAATTTTTGAGAAATTGACGTTTTAGTGACGTCATGTTCGCCATTTTCGCCTCAAAAACGGCAAAAGTTCAAACGCCGCTAACATCTTCATTTTTAAAGGAATCAAGACGTAACAAAAAAGGTTATACGTAATTTTACTTTGTCTATCAAATGGCTATCTCGGTTTTTTGAAAATTTTGGATTTTGGCCTAAATTTTTTCAAAAAACTGACTTTTTTGGGAAAATCATTATAAAATCCAAAATTTTGAGTCTATCGAAAAAACCGGAATATATGTCAGAGAAGTGGTCAATGTGCACCTACATACCAAATTTTAGAAGAATCGGTTCAAAAATGTGGGAGTTATTCAAAATTTTATGACGTCACGACACACAAAATTTTTGAAAAATGACTTTTTTGGAAGTTCTAGACCTCGTACGGAAACAAAAATAGCACCATTCGATTCACCGTGAAAAACTGCATCAGATAGACACCTTTTTAGGCCTTAACAACCAACTTCAAAATTTGACCTCACTTGACCTGACCTTGACCTGACCTCGACCTGAAATTCATCCAGAGGTGGTCCATATCACTTATTGAGTGTGCCTATTGAATTCTATGAGTAAAATGACCCATAAAACATGTGTCGCACATGCCCTTTTCTATATTTTGTTTTTTGGTGACCTGACCTGACCTGACCTGACCTTGACCTTGACCTCTGAATGATATTGTATGCAACGAATATTGTCTTGGTAGCCTAAGAACACCTTTTGGGCGATCAGTCTCAGTCCATGACTCCATTCTTCGGCAACTACGGTGCCAGGCCGATACTGTAGAAACTTGCAATTTGTACCCTTGACCTGACCTTGACCTTGACCTCAAACTTTAAATTAAGTACATGTTTTTAGTAGTTCGTGATGAGAGCTTTCGATTGGCGTTTGAATTTTCCAAATCGGACCATTAGTTCGGGAGATAACAGGGGGGGTAAAATTTACCCCCCCCCCCCCAGCCCCGCGCGTTCGGCTGGAGACCCCAGCCCCGCGCGGGTTAACCGACGGTGTACCTAGTTCTGACGTTAACAGATATACTTGTATCATTTAATAACATCCAATGTTTCGTCATCGTCACAAACGTGCCATTATTCATTTTTTAACACTATTTCAATAAAGAACGTCATTCTGTACTTGGGGTTAATAATTTTTCTATATTATAAGGCGCAGTATGTAATTTGCACGTATTTCCGCTGAGTTTAAAAGCAATATCAAGTTCACGGGATTTCCTGCGGACTCACCTGTTTTGTCAGTGAAGAACACTGTAAAACTCCGCCGCTGATGCCTGCTTTAGACTTGTGCATTGTTCTGTGTGCTGTAGGTCGTGTCTATCAACGACTACCAGAAGCAGCGTTTCGCTAAGCGGATAGTCAACTGTCTCTTCAACACGGTGTCCGGCAAGCGGATCGCCATCATGGGGTTCGCCTTCAAGAAGAACACAGGCGACACACGCGAGTCGGCGGCCATCTACGTATCTGCGCACCTGTTGGAGGAGGGCGCCCGACTCGCCGTCTACGACCCCAAGGTGCGTCTCGGGAGAAGGGAGGGACACTGGCCGTGTAGCCTACTTCAGGCACAGCTAAGGCCCGGGTTTTAAGGCTGAAACAGACTTTCCGCAGTCAAAAAATCGCATGCGAGAGCCTATTCAAATGCATTAACTCACGCTTGCATCAATCGTACGCACCTCCCGCATGCGATTGATGCGGAAAGGGTTATAATGTATTTGAATAGGCTCTGGCATGCGATTTTCTAACTGCAGAAAGAGCTGTTTCAGCCTTAAATACAGCATCCAAACATCATTCAAACCACAGTAAGAGCTTTGTTCTGACGGTGCCTTGCCGCCGTCTCGGAACCTCCAAAAATAGTCGCTGACTTTCCGCCGCTCGGCTAATGCGCCATATTTCATTTTGTGGTGACGCCTCGCTATTTGTTAGGCCCGGGCTGCCGCCACGGATGACCGTTTGCTTTGACATATTGTGTCGGCGGGCCGCCTGTGGGCGATATACGATACAGCGGATCACTGGACCTCCCAGTTTACCAAACACCAGCCAGTCCTTATATTCCCGTAATTACTGATAGAGCCTTCTATTTACATGTGTTTCTGGGCAGGAGTTATTTTGCATCGCCAATGCCAAACATCACATTGAGATGGCTAAGGGAAATTTCTTAGTTGCTCTCCTTCGATCCTTTCGTTCCTTTTTAGAATCGTTTCCTGATTTTCTTGTGAGTCTTTTCCGTCAAACTATTTCAGGCGTCTCCGGTGCGGTCAATGCCAAATCAAATAACCTTTTGAATCCGTGTATGCTCTGTGACCATCCACTCTGGGACGATGATTGGAATTGAATGGCGTGGCATTTGTTCTCCAGTTAGGTCTCCTCTCTTGTGTGTATAAATAGCTAGCAAATCAGCTGCTGAATCCGTTTTCGGATCCGGATGACAGGTTGAATCGCCGTTTGGAACTATTCAATGAAACATTCAGCGACTTAAATAAGACACAAATGGCTAGGCCTCAATGGCGACCACATTTTAAGTTCAAGAGTCTAGACATCCACCTGACTATGTTCCTTAGAGCTTAAACTGGAGCCGGTAACTTCTGCACCGCCATCATACCAAATAGTTTTTGCCAAAAAAAATGTGATGGTAGTCCGGTTGTCACTAGCTGGAACCAGATAGTTCCGGCTGCGGCCAGTTTTATGCCTGCTTACCAGTCACCAATAGCAGGCAGCTATTGGTCGATCCACAAGTACTATATGTAGAGAGACAGACAGTTGCCGGACTTACGCAAAGGTGGGAGTCCGGTCGCCTTAGAAGTGGACCAAGTCTACTATTCAAGCTCCAAGAATTCATAAACTTAAATGTCGGCGACTTTACTTCTCGGTTACGCTGGAACTTGGAAACAGGTTTCTGAAGTAATCCACTATCAATTCAATCCGTGTCTTCACGGATGTACCCACTAGAGACTTCAGTAGAAGTTTCTACCAATAGAAAACCAGCATCTAAGCTATGCTGGTCACAGAGTTGATTGTTCTATGAACGTTATACCTCTGGGTCTGAACTTACCCCCTTCTCTCCCTCTCTCCCCCCTCTCTCTCTCTCTCTCTCTCTCTCTCTCCCTCCCTCTCTCGCCCTTCTCAGGTGGAGGCTGACCAGGTGACTCGTGACCTGAACAATGTGACCGGCACGCCGGATGTGGTGCGAGACCAGGTGGAGGTGTGCTCCGACCCGTACGAGGCGGCCCGCGGTGCGCACGCGCTCGTCATCTGCACTGAGTGGGATGTCTTCCAGGTAAGAGAGAGGGACGATCAAACGACCCTTGTAGGAAAGGGTCATGCATCATTTTGTACAGTCAAGTTACTAAAAGCTTGGTTGTGATTTTTTATATTTACATTGCAACTATTTCTGATCAATTATGCTCGTGAAGTAACCCATATTATATCTATGTAGATGCATTTGTTCTGTCCGAGTTTGCGCTCTGAGCCTAGTCTGCAGCCTCCACTCTGAGCCTAGTATGACCCGACACCCGGCCCTGACGTCTTACCCGGCTCCACAGACACTGGACTACGCCAGAATATTCGCCGGCATGCCCAAACCCGCGTACGTGTTCGACGGCAGGAAGATCCTCGACCACGAGAAGCTGACCAAAATCGGTGAGCGTCAGCCGTGTGTGTAAAGGAGCGGAGGAGAAGACTGTGATAGCGGAGACAGTAAAGGCGGAGAATGTTAGTCAGAGACCACATTACTCAGCTGTGACGTTATAGCTGACAGTGTTGCTGCACTTTGGGGACCTGCAACGAACTTTTGTTGTCACCAACTATGGGAAATAGTACTTATTAGAAGTCGTGAATTAGGCCAGACTGGCCAAGTTTGCTGGAACGGAATGGATCTTGGGGTAAAAACAAACAGGAAGGGATGAGTTTTGCCTGCAGTATTTTGATTGGACTGCACATTTTACACCCGGTACATTTTGCAGGTTTGTGTGAGTGAGTGAGTTCTTATTCACCGTTATAAGTTGTTCTTGCGATTGGCACCTGTTTCCCTGTCGTCTACCCCAGACGGAGTATTGCATAGTTCGACCCCTGTTTGTATCCAGTGTATGAATACCTCACTCTTTCTCGCAGGGTTCGAGGTGGAGACGATCGGTAAACGTGTGCGAAACGTCTCCCAGTCCCACCCCGCCGCCATCACCAACGGAGCGGGTAGCGGGGACGGTGCCACCGGACTGGACTCGTGTGAAGACGCCACCGGTCCGGACTCCGAGATGACCTTATAACCGACTCCGCATCTACCACGGGATCACCTAGACGGCGCGAGACTGTGTGCCTTGACACCGGGGGAAGCGCTGCTGGCCCGGGCGCCTCAGCACCAGGGGAAAGGCCGCTGGCCTCTGAACTGGAGGCCTGAGCTCGGTGCTGACCTCGGGAAAGGCAAAAGGGAGGTCAAAGGCAGACACGGGAGCACTAGGCCGCGCAGGAACGGTTGGGTGTTAGTATTACGGCTCACAGAATTTGGTGTGCCTCGTGGTGTGCTAGCCTCAAGCCTGTGTGTTCACGATGAAGGCGGTGCCTTATAGATATAGCTGATGCGCTGCACGGCCCGATGGATCAGGGTGGATTGGCGATTGCACAACAGAGCCATCTATCGACAGCGGTCAGAAACTGCGCTTCTGGCGCCGCTCGAGAAACGATGGAGGGTAATGTGTTCTCTTTGTCCTAAAGTGCACTCTGTTAAGTTAGCTTTACATTCACGGATGGATGGCTGTATGTTAAGGATATATTTATGAACGTGGTTGGGCATTTCGAGAGAGCCTCGCTGGCCTTCGCTGTTCTTCGATCGCTGAGACTGGCCCTCCCGTAGGTGACAACTGGCAGTAGGCAATGGGCATTAAGCACGGGCCTGAGTTGAGCACAGGCACGGGCCAAGAGCGATAGGACGGGCGCGAAGGTGAGAGTGTGAGCGAATGCGTTCGGGCTGTCGGGTTCTCACATACACCAGCACATGTTGTGAAAGCACGGGTGTGCGTTAGTAAAATGTCCCATCATGCCATCGACTCAAGTGCCTTAATTTATCGCGCGCCCTTCGCGTTATTCGTACATTCCTTGAGATTTTGTTAGCCATCATTTTAATTATGTTGCTTCTCTTTATGGCATACCCCTATTTTATATAAATGCTTCTTTTATATGTGTGATAAATAAAAGACATCCGCGGAAGTGCATCTGTTGTTTGTATAGATCAATACTTTTCTATGGCTCTCTGGCCACGTGGAGAAAGTTATTCGTGTCGTTTGGTGGCCGAAAATATGGTGGTGTTACAGTGTCACGTGTTGGGTGTTATGCCTTGGATGCTTCGAATTTAGCCTCCACAAATTTCAACTGTACCACAAACCACAAAATCGTCCTCTCCTGACCAGCGAGTGAGGCTCATAGGAATTAACCATATCCCATACCACAATGAAGCGAGTACCCACAGCACGAACCTTATATAACACGTTTCAAATTTGTTTCAGACGCCGTCCAAGCCTTTCATCATTCACTGGTGCCACAGCTCTTGCGTTCTTGCCCTAAACTGGCTCGCATGGCGTTGGCCGTCCCGCGACAGTCCGTAATGCATCGTTGGTTTTATGTTATGTAAGTAAGCAAAAGGACAAGCGATGTTATATCGGCTGTCTTAAAGGCTCATATGCCGCCATATTGTCCTCATTGACCCTTGAAAGTTGAAGTTTGGCTTACGGACGATGGGACCAAGTATCCGCAGTAGTCGTTATCACTGCTACGTGTCTATAGTGCTCATATGGTACGTGCAAGTACGATTTCGTTTGAGCACGCTCAAAATGTGATATCACATATTTGCGGTTTTACGATGCAGAAAAGTTGCAATGAAAAGACCATAAGTCGTCTGCTGTCTGCCTGAGCACCGGCACCGCTCGCCAATAATCTGACCCGGCTACTGACGAACTGAGGCCGTGACAGTCCGTCTCCGGCCCGTGGCTCCACGGCCACCCACCCACTCTGCGAGCAGTGCCGTTATCTGATACCATTATCATCGCTCGGCTTTTTCCTAGAGGTGCGCGCGCCCGGACAAAGCTCGGCGACTGCCTGATCCGTGCGAGACGAGCGGGGCGGCTGTTCCTGTCGAGTTATGGTCACGGGTGAGAATGCAAACAGACAAGTTGAACGAAAAATAAGTTATCAGTTAGTTAGTTAGTTTATTGACACTTGAAAAAAACATTATACATACAATGAATATGGATAAAACTCAGATGACAGGCGTGTCCACCAAAAACACATGTCATATACTTCTATACGTACTAAAAGGTTGCTTAGAACATAACACAATAAACAAAACGTCATCGATCAAAACACTCGAACCGATCTAAAACCATGTGACAAAACCTTGCTAAATCTAAAACGTTTCCCTCCATAAGCGCTTCTAAATCCCTAAAATTCAGGTTGGGGAAACTGTCCCTAAGAGGCTCTGTTTCTGGGCAAAACAACAACACATGCCGCTCTGTCTGAACCGCGCCACACATACAAAGCCTCTCATCTGCTGGCAAGCGTGCCCACCTTCCCGTTTCAATTCTAAGCCTATGGGAGCCTAAACGAATTCGAGTAAATGCGGTACGCACATACTCGGGAACATTTTTATCATACATTGGGTGTCTCTTGAGGTGGGGATTAAACTGACAGTATGTGACTCTTCTCGAAGATGTCGATCCACAAATCCTGGTCTGAGTACTCGCCAGACTGGCGGCTCGAAAAGACCCAGATTCATATCGCATTACAGCATCAATATACTTCCCGGCCCCTGCGCCTGCTTGTCTCGCTAAATTTAGTGCAAAGAACGCTGAGCTGGTATTAAAGTTTTCACGGGAGGTCAACTTATCGATGAATTTCCTTTGGACTTCCTTGACAATAGCGGTAGTGTCTGGATATTCTATTTCCGCCAGAACTAAGTCCGTACATGTCTGGTTGCGAACCGACAATAGCTGCTTTAGCGCTGACAATATCGGTGAAATAACTGATTTTATGTCGTTGCACAGCCAGCTTTCGCAGCCGTATAACACTGAGCTGCTGAGGGCACTTTTGAAAACTAGCTCTTTGACCGAAAAGGGAGCCTCTGCGTTTTAAAGAACTGAACTTTATCAGATGGCTCCGTTTGAAATCGATATGTGCTTTAACTTGTTTCTGAAGAGAGGCGTTCATGACAGGCGTACCGAGATAAATGTATTCATCGGTATGTTCAATGATGATATGCTGCAGACAGAACGGGTGGATATCCTTCGAGTTAACTACCATGAATTTAGACTTTTGAGGATGGATTTCCATACATATTGATTCAGCTTCTCGGTGAAGCAGTTTTAACTTGTGTTCCAAAGCCTTCCTTGACGTCGCAAGGACAACTGTGTCGTCCATGAAAAGAAGACAATGGAGGTTTTCGAGAAATCCATCTCTTCCATATCTTTTAATCGCCCTCACTGTGCTATTTATGTAGAACGTAAAAAGTGAACAGCTGTTTGTCGCCCCTTGTTTTACCCCTGCCGTTGATGCAAAAATTACATTACCTAGGGAGTTCCTTGTGTTTTTTAGACTGTTTGCTAGAGCTGTCAGATATTTGCCACCGCATCCCTGATCAGCCAGTTTTTGCAAAAGAATATTCCTATTCAGTTTGTCGTATGCCTTGATATAATCTATGAACGCTATAAACAATGTTTGTTTGGTCCTCTGAGCATAATCGATGATTAACCTGAGAATGAACAACTGTTCGGCACAGCCTCTGCCTACTCGACCACCCGCCTGTTCGTCATCTGGTTGAAACCAGAGCTCAAAGCGATTTCTTAAAACACCATCATAAACCTTGGCTAAAGCTCCCTGGATACTAATGCCACGGTAGTTATTGGTGTCGTCCATTCTTCCTTTTTTGAAAATTGTGAATAGTTTTGCAATCGACCATTGGTCCGGATATTCCCCTTCAAAAACCATATTAAATAACTGCGCTAAAACATGTAACCATTCACCATCGAGCATTTTGAGAATTCCAGGCGGTATTCCGTCTATACCTGCAGCTTTATCTCTACGAAAACCTTTAATGACGTTGTTGATTTCCACCACACTGATGGGATCATCCAAAATTGGCATGTATGCACTCGTTTCAGGCACTGACTCTCAGCTCTGTGTCAAGTGATGTAGGGTTTAAGAGTCTCGAAATGGCGGCGGAACACTTCATCGCTTGGTTTACTTTTATCGTTATCTCGGAACTCGATCTTTCCTTTCCAGTTTATCGAATTCCAAATCGCCTTTGCATCATTCTTTTTCAGCAGAAACTGCCAGCGAGATTGAGCATCGTGGGTCATCCCACCTGACTCATTGTGAGTGCGTTGGTCACTTCGTTTAGCGGTCAAGCAGGCGCTATACAGTGTGTCTGTCAGCCTCTCACAGACCCTATCTACCGTCATTGGCTGGTCTGCTTCGGTGTCGTGCAGCTGTCGCCACCAAAGAGCGGGTTCCGGGAGAGCTGCACTGAAACCTTCTCCGCTGATGGAGTTAATTGGCACCGCTTTACGTGCCACACCGTGTCCTCTCCGTTCCGGATATGTGCCTAACAGAGCTGCTCTCTCTAGCGTGGCGTCTGGGGACGGGGGAGGACGCCATAACCTCACGGACAAAGCGGCGTGGTCGCTCAGAAAGGGCGCTCTCTGGTCCACGACAAAGTTTTCGATCAGATGCATGAGCGACGGTGAGACAAGTAGCCAATCCAATTGCGAGATCCATTTTTCTCGCTTTCTGAACGTTAGATTTCCATCAAAACACTTTCGTCTATGCCTTAAATGATTAACAGGGTAAATATCTAAATTCGAACACATGTTTAGCAGTTCGCGACCATGGGCATTTTCCCCTAGATCAACATTTTGAGAATACGAAATATCTTTTGCGATATCATCTAGCTTGCACAGCGATGGCATTCTACTATTGAAATCACCAATGGCTATTATACTACATTTACTGTCTAATATTTGATTCTGAACGTCAGCGAAAGAAGCAGGACTAAAATACGGTGAGTCGGCTGGTGGAATATAACAGGCACCGATATGTACAGTCTGTCTTAAAAGTACCGCGCAAAGTGGCGGTGGATCCATCAAGCCTGACCGAGAAAGGGCCTGTTTTAATTTAAAAGTCACCGACCAATTGACCTAGGGAATGGATAAGGATGTCAGTTGCTTCAGTGACCCAAATTTAGCAGGCCCTTGCTCAGTCAGGCTCGATGGATCCACCGTCACTTTGCGCGGTACTTTTAAGACAGACTGTACAGTATATCTAAAAAGTATGTCCCCTGGTTTGGCTCTCCCACAGGAGGCGAATCGGTAACTTGGCTGAATCCCAGTTGCGGCACCCGGCCGCCAGGGTCGCTGCCGCGCGAGCGGCCTTGACCGCTCGCATGTCATTGGCAGTTCGGTCCCTCCCCATCTATACCGAGGTGGGGAGGGGAGAAGAGCGGAAGAGAGGGGAGGGAGCGGCTTTCGCTCGGCACTTGGCGATACCTGGCTGACCCCGCGCTCCCTCGCTGACCTTTGTCCTGCCCTCAGGCGAAGACCGACTTCCTGGCCTGTAGCGGCCCAGCGGAAAACCGAGCTCGCGGGGCGCGACTCCATTGGCCCAATCTTATAAATGGAATGCTGTCGTATTCACGGCATTAGATTATATTAATAGTGATACCAGCAGTGGATGTGGTAAAATACAGTCCAAAATAAACGAAAGCACACGATTCGTGCATAATGCGCCCTCCCCTTCAAATAAGCCCGCCCACTTCGATAGATGGTGTAGTTTCTTAGGGCGTAAAAGATGCAAAACACTACCTATTTTTTTTAGCTCGGCCACTGGGACCGACAATATACAATTGACTGAAATGCATGAAAACCATTTTGCATTTAGGTAATAGCCGTTTTCTGCACCCAAACTTTAGCCAGTGACACCCTGTCCATTCTAAAGCGTTTATAAGATTGGTCCCAGCACCCGATTTTATATGAGGAAGTCGTTTAAAAAGTATCTTATTTCTAACGAATTTATTATTATGGCCACTTTTACAGGACGTCTATAGAGCTTTGACTTTCACGTTTCTTCCTCGTTCAGGAGAAACGTTTTAACCCTCACCGGACCTTCAGGTTTTCTGAATACCGAGGGGACGTTGGGGGTTGGAAGTGAGGAAACAACCCCCTTCGCC